TAAAGAATACTAAATGATAGAGGACGCACAGGCCATGATCATGACATACGTGTTGCAATTTTATGTGAAGCCGCCTTGATCCGGCGTAAGAAAAACATCCATCTCGAGAGCCTTAACATACTGAGCTGAATCATTTTCATAATATTGTTTTTACAAGCTTTTCCTGTCGTGGCCATAATCCGTATACGACTGCGGGCAAATTGCAGATCAAGTTGCTTGGCATGGCAAATATAACACGGCAGGACAACACGCGCGTGCACCACAAGAGAGTAGGCCACCGTGCAGGGCACACCTGCAGCAGGACACTCCTGCTGCAAACGCTGCCAGAGCCCCTTCGCCCGCCCAGCGGCACTGAACATGGGCCAACATCGACCACGCCCCCGCACCCGCGAAGCACAAGGGACCCCGTTGAAACGGGCGCTGAGCCTATCAGACACAAGTCTGTGGTTTTTGAAAGGGCTGGAGACACCATCCTGTAGGACAGACGACCAGTCACAGGACCCACGTGAGTGGGACAACGCAGAAGCACAACCAACAAAGCAAGTGCCACAGCAGCTCCACTCCTGCCACTATGCACAGCACTTATCGCAAGTGCACGCTACATGGTTGCCAAGAACACCTGCGACCCGAACGGCGTGCTGAGAAGATTTTCGCAGGCGCTCAAGCATTCCAGCCAAACGCAAAACGTCAGCCACAAGCTTGCAGCTCGGCACCATCTGCGGCGAAAGAACCCTCCCAGCATCTTGACCACTCGGACGGCCTTGCTTCTCTGCACGAGTCGAGGTCTAGCCACTGCGCAATGGGAGAGCTGATGCACGATGGAAACATGTTGCTGAGAGCGCGGAAGGAGCGGAAGCTTCTCCTGGCACTTTGCGCACGCCCACCCTCCTTTGACAACGGGAGTGTCTACACTCGGCTGGACACAATCTGGGGCTGACTCGCTGACAGCGCACTTTGTGAAACGCGCTTCGCGGGACACCAGGGCGTGCATGCATGACGCGCGCGCGCGTTGCGCGTCGCCCCCATTTTGCACACGTCACAACACCATTCTTCAGCGTTTGCTTCAGTGCGTTCCTGCGCGACGGGAGTGTCGTGGGCACAGGGCTTGCGCTTTTTGCAATGAGAATGTGCATTAGGGGCGGCATGTCGCTTGCGGGCTTGCGCTTGCGCGGTCCGCGCCAAGCCCGCAGTTTGAACCGAGTCAAGGCTGGGCGTGGCCTGACTGCTACGGGCGGCTCGGGCGCGGCCGAGCGCAGGCTGTGAAGAGACGGCGCACACGCAGGCTGAGACTTGACAGCACGCAAGCTGCGCAGAGACTGCGCGCGCGCAGACTTAACATGGCTTGGCAGGTCCGACGGAGACCACCTCTGAGCTGCGCGCAGGGATGTTTTGAGCAAGTTCTCCTTTATAGAGAAGGAGCCAAGGGCGGGGAACGCTGGCGGAAGTGTTTGTTTTACAACAACAAGACAGATTTGGGGCGCCGCCTTTCTTGGTAGTAGCCTTGCCGCCCTTGAACAGCAAAGGGTGTAGCGTTCCCACACACCTCTTCCTGCTTCCAAACTACAACCGGCAGCAAGCCACTGACTTCAACCGTGGCCTGAATGGAGACCACATGCCCAGGCGGCAGCGACTACTTGCGCAACCATTGATCCAAGACATTGGCTATGGGCTGGGATCCATAGCGTAGCGAGGCTTGATGCTTTTTGACACGCTTCCTTGCTGAGCTTTTTGTCAGGTTGCTCCATTGCTTGAGCAGCGGCACAAAAGGCTCTGTAAAAACCGTCGCCTTGGTCTCCAACGTCTTGCTCAGTCCAACCAGTTGATCTAGCTTCATTCGGATTGCTTGGGACGGAGTTTGTCACTGCGGCGTTTGGCATATCGTCGAAGTTGTGAATCCAGAGTGTCATCTCCGCAAAGGAATTCGACATGCCCATGTGTGTAAAAACACAAGGTGATTACTGGTTGATTGCTCTCGTTTGGAAACGACCATACCTCTCCGTCTTCTCCTAGCACAAAAACGGATCGTTTCAACGCTGCGGGCTAAGGCAAGCACTCCAAGTAGGTGCCCAGACTCCATTCAACCGGATCTCCTCCAAATAAGCATCAAAGTTGTCGGCCTCTAGTGCTTCTTCACGATTTTTGCCAGGTTTACGCCTGTCCCATAGCACCTCAAGCTCTTCACGATGTCCTTGCATGTAGTCGTGGATACACCGTCTTGTCTGGACCCAAGCGTACTTTTTACTTTTCGAGCCCTGCAGGGTTTTAGGGTTCTGACCCTAAACGGTTCAGGGTTAAGGTTTGAGTGCCCGAACCTTAAACCCTTAAGGTTAAACTCTATGGGTTCAGCTTTCAAGGGCCTAAATCTTAAACCCGAAACCCCGTAACTAAACCTTAACTCTATAGGGTTTAAAGGTCAATGGTTTAGATTTAGTTGCCGGCTTAGGTCTCAATGCCTAAGTAAAACTTAACCCTGTAGGGTTTAAAGGTTAAGGGTTTAGGCTTCATTGCTTAACCCAATAGGGTTTCTGGGCTCCTCTTGAAAACCCTAAGCCCTTAACCGATAGGGTATGAGTGGCATCAGAACCTGGCACTGCACTACCTGTACTTGTCTCTCCTGTTGCACTCTGATGCCCGCCGGAAAGTCTTTTCAGCATAGGCGTTAAAATTTATTTCACGAATCCGCATCCCCAAATTCCCAAAGGAAAAAAAAAACGTATTTCCAAAATTCCGAAAAGAAAATTGATTGTTGGAGTGTGGAGTCGTGAAAGTACAAAAGTGGTTTTGAGGTTGGTCTTGGGGGGGGAGGGGCGTACCATACCTATACATATGTATACATATGTATACATATGTATACATATGTATACATATATATACATATATACATATATACATATATACATATATACATATATACATATATGCATATATGCATATATGCATATATACATATATACATATATATATATATACACATATACACATATACACATATACATATATACACATATACGTATATACATATATACATATATACATATATACATATATACATATATACATATATACATATATACATATATACATATATACATACATATATACATATATACATATATACATATATACATATATACATATATACATATATACATATATACATATATACATATATACATATATACATATATACATATATACATAACATATATACATATATACATATATACATATATACATATATACATATATACATATACATTATATACATAATATACATGTATATATACATGTATACATATATCATATATACATATATACATATGTAAACCCCCCCCCCCCCCCCCCCCAGTGACCTACCCTTTTTCGCCTTGTCTCACGTCACCCCGCTGCACTGCAAGCAAACTCAGTGTGCAACATACATACATACATACATACATACATACATACATACATACAGACATACATACATACATACATATATACATATACACATATATACAGATATACATATATATATATACATATATATGTATATACATATGTACATATGTATATATATATATATATACAGATATACAAACATATATATATATGTATGTGGGGAAGCATCTGTGGCTTTTAGCATTTTTGACATCTGGCAGAAACGAACCAAGTGACAATCGTGTTCGTCACGGAGGTGCCTATGTTGGCACCCATGATGATAGGGATCGCATACCTCACTGCCAACACATCAGCCCCAACCAAACCAACCACGATACTTGTGCTGGTTGACGAGGATTGCACCAGGACAGTAGCCAGGATGCCCACCATGAGGCCAGCAATAGGATTGTCAGAGAAGGTGAACAAGTTTCCGGCTCCTTTGCTGCCCAGAGCACTGAAGGAGCCACCCATAAGGTCGAGACCAAAGAGGAAAAAGTACAAGGCGATGAGGACTCCAACGATCTTCAAGGTCACCATCAAAGCAAACATCCCAGCACTCTGCTCCTTTTCTTCAGCCATAGCGAGCTTAAGGATCCTTTGCGGCGGCGAGCGGAGCTTACTGGCAAAAACGAGCCCAAAACGCTACAAGAAAGATCAGGAAAGGTCAGGTCCCACCAACCATGGCCATGGGTAGCCATGGCATAGCCATGGCCATCAGAACTGACAGCTTCATGGCAATGATCATGCCATTGGACTGACGCTACCCTCCCCCCCCCGCCCTGTCGAGTCCTGAGATGTTGGACTCCGCAGCCACGTGTCTTCGGGCTCGAGTTCTTCCTGCTGCGACCTGGCAACGTGTGATGCGTGTGATGCGCGCTGCCTTGGGCCTTACAATGCAAGGCTTCATATATCTGAGCCTTGGGCATTACTGGCCGCCCCCATTCAATCACTAAACTTGGCGCGGCTTTGGCTAGATTAGAAATCTGCAGCAAAGAGGGTGAAACCAAAAAGCAAAAGCCGACTCGCGACAGAAGCGCATTGGTTGCATCTTCTGCGCCACCAGCTGTACCCAAACATCCTTAACTGGACGGAATCGAGAGCAGCAAGACCCAAGAACGCAAACCTGAAGGTCTCGGACTCGGGTGCGGTTGGTTTCGGGGACTGCAATCGCACACTACTTTGAACGCATCGGGCACCATGAAGACCATTTCGGGCACCCCCGGACAACGAGATCGGGCACACTCCATGCAAAACCCGAAGCACTTTACTTCCCGCACACCACGGCAGGCCCCGAAACAACATTCTCAAGAAAGTCGCCGACACTGCTCGCCCCCTGAACTTCACTCCCCGACACGTGCTTTACCCCCAGATCGAAAGGTTGCCCCGGAAGCCCACCCATTGACACACTGCCCAGCTCCGTCACAAATTTCCGCAAGGCCACTACAGCTCAGAGGACAAAGTTCTGGGTCAGCTGGCAGTACTATCATCCAACAGCTCCCGTCTCAAACCGGACCCAAGCAACACGAGCACTGCCGCCCCTATAGAGCGCAATCTGTTTTCGCTCCGCCATGGTCGCAGCGCTAGCGCCCGGGGGCGCCGCAGCCCAGCAGGGCCATCCCGCCGACCTGACGGCCGGCTTTTTGGGGATGAGCAGTCAGGCGCAACGTGTCCTACGGGGCCATATGGCTTTGCAAGGGTCCAGGCTAGGCGAACTTGACCTTCGCAGATCTCTTAGCACAAGTACAACAATTTTCAGTTGTGGTTTACGGCTTCCAATCGTAGTCGGGCGCATGGAGGGGCCGGGGGGGGGGACCCCAGCCCAAGCTCACAGGGCCTTCTTCAGCCGCCCGAGAGCGCGCCACAGTTCAGGCGCAGCTTGCAGTGGGCAGCGGAGGAGGCAAGCCTGCACAGCCCATGCGAACCCAATGCACAGTAGCCCATGCGCAGTAGCTTATGCCCCGGCACATGCACAGCCCACTCCGCACGCATGGAACCCAAGCCCCTACTTTTTTCTGTCGAGACTAGCGATCCCTGCACACAGAGACAGTCACATGCCGAGCTGCCTCTCCGCGAAGGTTGAAGAACCTCGGGGCGCCCAGGATCGAGGCCCGATGACGCAACGGGGGGGGGGGCGGGGGGTTGGATGGGGTGTTCCTCTGCTCTCTGGGGAAGCTTAGTCCCTTTCACTTCGGTCATTTCAGTCAATCTTTAGTCTCCACTTTAGTCTCGCTCCTCTTTTGCCCAAAGAGCGGTTGCACGACTGCGTTTTTCCCGGACAGGGCCATCCCCTCTTCGCTCGTGCGGTAAGCTTAATCTCGTTGGGCCGTTTCCTTCGGTTCTCCTTCAATGCTCGTCGCTAGGCCACCCATCCAAGGATTGGAATGATTGGATGTGATGGGCTGCTCCGTCTGAGATCCCGGCCCGATGCGGATCTTGTGAAGAAAAAGGCGGGGACAGAAGTCCTGAGCGGCCATCAGGGCTGGGGCGGTTTGGGCGGTTGGCCTGTGCGAACCCACAACCCCAAAGCCCCAGTGTGTGCATGTGTGTGCTGAACGGATAGGTCTCATGCTTACTGACTTCACCCTGACCGCCTCATGGCGCTGCTCCACCCCTTCTTTGCACACACCCAACCGTAGCGCAGACGTGCCAGGCGCGCTGCCGGCACCAACCCCGATGCATACAAGCTGTCACCCACTAGCCTGTCAGGACGAGATCTCACAAGGGCGCAACATGCGCAGCAACAGCAGCCATCGGAGCAGCAAGAAGAACGCTGGTGCCGGTAGTGAATGGAACTCTAGCAACACCAGCTGCTCGCAACGCTTCCGCTTCCACGATACACAAGCAATCGACCAGTACCTCAATCATTTCAAAGCACCCCCCATAGATCAAGGCAAGGCGGGCACACGGGTGACCCAAGTGCTTCATGTGCGCCCTGAGCTGGTGGGTCCTGGTGCAAAGACTCCTACGCAAACATCCCTATGAAGCCCTGAGTTCAAGACGCTGGTCCTCAGGGTGACCATGCGGCAATGCAGAAGCGAATACCTGCTGAAAATGGGGGGGCGGCAGAGCTTGGAGGATGTAGTTTAGGCGATTGCCCTGGCTTACCTAGGTTAGTTTTGGTTTTTAAGGTGGTGCTCGCCTTCAAGAACCTTAGGCCTCAAAGCCCAAAACCACAACGCCCACAGCCCCACGGCGTCGAGGCCTCAGGCTTATCAGACTTGCTTTGAGCTGAAGCCCAGAGGAGCCCGGCTCGCCTCTCTCTCTTGTCCGGGCACTCGTACTCGGCAAGCACCTCGCCCAGATCCGGAGATCCGCAAAAGCCAGAGCCAACTTCCACAGGCCGTGCTCATAAGGGCTTTTTCAGGAGGCTTTGAAGGCTGCCGGCCCCTCTTCATTTGCCAGCTTTCGAGCCTGGGGCTTCAGGGTGCGGAGGTGCCGAGAAACCGGACACGAGCCGCGGAATGCACCCAAAAAAGGCCCTTAACAGGTCTCAAAAGGGGCCGAAGGCCTCTTGACCCCAGCTCCCCGCGCCTCCCAAACTGTGGAGGCGGCCTGGCCGCGCGCATCCACACCTTGGAGGGCGCTTTCGATGAGGGCTGTCAGGGTGTGGGGATGGAAGGGTGAAGAGTCCCCCCCCCTCCCAATGGTATCCCCATCCCATGGTGCTTAACCCTGAACCCACCACGAACCACGAACCACAGCCTAAACCCCTAAACCCTAAAACCTAAACCACAGAGGGGAGAGGGGAAACCCAAAACCCGCTCCCTCACCCGCAACCCTGCATCATAAATCCTAAAGCCATCACGAACGATAGGGGGGAGAGGGGAAATCCTAAACCTACAACCCTCGACCCAGACTGAAAACCCTAAACCGTGCAGCCTAACCCTCAACACCCTGAACCCTGAACACACAATGAACCAGGGACCATGAACCACGTTAGGGGGGAAACCCTAGAAACCCAAACCCAAAAGCCATGATGAACCACGGGGGGGATTGAATGCTGACGCACATAGGGGTCGTTCGGCTTTATAGGATGCTTCATGGACGCTTGGAGACGCTCCATGTGGACCTGAAGAGAACTCATGACACCATCCCGAGACTTGCAACAACCGCAGAGCAAAGCTAAACTAAAGCTTGAGCCGGGCCTGATACCCAATGCGAGCCGATCTCTTGCCTGGGGCCTGTGCTGACTTTCCCGGTCTCGAGGTAAGTGCTCCTCAAAAGCACGGAGCTACCGGGCAATTCAGATTCCCGATTGTCGTTGAGGTTCCGAAGCCTTGTTGAGGTTCTGTTCTAAAGCCCCGAAGGGCCTCGAATCTGCAGCTGCCCTCACACGTGCTGGAATGGTCAAAACACCCACTGTGACCCTCGTCCTTGACACTCCGAAGCTCAACATGCTAAGCCCTGAAGCCCCAAAAGCGCCATGCAAACCTCTGAAGACTCTGACAAATCCAAGAACCCAACCCCCATCTTGCACATCGGGAGCCCCACGTGTCAATGGCCAGGTGGCACTCGCCTCTCACCCTTCCGGAGGCGGAAGGGTTTCGGGGTGGGCGAGGGGGAGGCGGTAGGGGGGAGAAAGGTGAACAGGTGAAGACCGCAGCTGCCCTGAAATTTCTTACAAACAAGAAGTTGGTGGGGTGGAGGGCTTAGGTTGTAGGGCAGTTTAGGGTTGAAGTCCCGATTTTTTGGGTGAGGATTCTCCTTCAAAGTTGCCGGGACCCAGCCTGGGCCCCACAACACCTCAGCCACAAACCCTGAAAACCCCCAGCCTTTCCGGTGCGTAGCTTCCATGCACCAAGGCCACATAGTCCTGTTGCAGAAGTGGCCAGTCCAGTGTCAGGATAGCCCTGAGCCCGCCAACTTCCTCAATTCCAGAAGGTAACTCTGCAACGGTTTCGACAGTCACCTCAAACACGACCAAACCCCAACAACGTCTGCAACAGGAGCGATGAGTTGGGCGACGAGACGAACCCCGAAGCCCTGTGCGAGTCCTTGAGCAGCCCGAGGAGGATTTGGTTCCGTGCGTGCTCGTAGCCCTGGGGGGGGTGTCCGCTTTCTTTGCTTCTCGAAGCCCTCCCGCCCTGCACATGAGACTGCCGATGATAGCGCTCAGGCGCGCTGCCCCGTCCGACAACCGAAGGCTGACTCGGCCTTGTGCGTCTTTCCGATCAGCAGCGGGCCCGACGTCTCCACCTCGATCGGGGGGGTAGGAACAAGAACACCCCCCTACTCCAAAAGCCCGCCCAGACCGATCCCCAAACCTGGCTTCCAGCTATATGGGTTTAGGCCCAAACAAGCCCAGAATACAAAACTGGATTACTCGAAAACCCGACGCCCTTCCTAAGGGTTTCAGGGCTTAGGCAACAAGGGCCTTGGGGGGGACCCGGTACTTTTTTGCCCCTTGCCATCCCTCCAACTTCTCACCCCTCACTCATACCTCGGGCAAACACCCCCTATTTCCTGCAGATTCTCTAAGCCTAAACGATAGCGCGAGGTGCACCCCAGCCCCAGGGCCGTCAACCTCTGCAGTCTATTCCCTGAGCCACCCGGAAGCTAATGCTGCCCCGTGGCATCCAATCGGTGCGCGAGGCCCCGGTCTAAGGTCCTGAGTGTTCTGCAAGTGTTCTCTGAATGTTCTGTGCTCTCTGCCGGGGGGCAGTGGGGTTTGGGGCTTGGGCTTCAGGGTTGAGAGCTTCGCAGGCTTAAGGGCTTTGGCTTGAGTCCCCCATGCGGAAAGGTTTGAGAAAAGAATTGCCAAAGCTGGATGTTGGGCCAAGGATCTCAAAAACTCCTTACAGGTAAGGAGCTCGAAACTGAACCCCTCGTGCTGAGGGTTCCTACACGTCTGGCCTAAGGACACAGTAAAGCACAATGGGAAAGCTACGTTGTGGCGCACGCTTGGTGGCAGCGGTGGATATGGCATACCTGGGCTTCGTTAGGTGGAAGACCTGACTGGGATCCGCTGCTGGTCCCTGCAGGCATCGCACACGGGATCGTGCCCGAACCTGAGTTGCTGGAGGTTTCTGAGGCGCTTATGGTTTCATGGTTTTGGGCTACTCGGGTCTAGGCTAGGACTTTTGGTCTAGGGTTCAAATTCCTTCTGGGTGTCTGCTTTGGGGCTCTTCGGCTTGCACGCCTTACAACCAAGGTGCCAGCGATTGCATGCCAAAAGAAATTCATACCCAAACACGAAGACCGCAATTTTCGACTCTGAAGATAAGGCTTCCCCTTAAGGCGCAGGCTGCAGCAGCAGCCAGCCTTGCAATGGCGCCGCCGACTCCTTGCGACCCGGAGGAGGGAGGAGGACCCGGGGTCTGGGATTGAAGAACCTATGAAAGGCTACTGGACAACAAATCTACAGAATAGCTAAAAAAGAGGCTCCACCACCCCACCATACCCCACCCAGCCCACATGAAACGCCTGCGCAACAAGCTTCGCGACTCGTGCCCGCCGCGCTGCGGGCGCAAGCCACACCCAGGAGGGGTCCACGCCCTGGGGAAGCAAGGGCCGAGGGCTGAGGAGATTTGCAGAGGCAGTCTGGGATTGGGTCAGTATTTTCAGGGGCTTGGGATCTAAAAGTATCAACCATGACTCGGGTGAGATGGATGATGTTTGGGGCCACAGGCCTCGATGAACTCACCCCACAACCCAAGGCTCTTCTCCCTGCCGACCTCGGGCTGGGGCGTCGTGGACCATCCACAGGGCTTCAGCACCACCGCGAGGTCCTCATCCTTTGTTCACATACGACGTTACGAGCCAAGTTTAGGATTAGGGACGAAAGCCATGGAAAGCTGGCGACAGTGTGCAGCCTGTGCGCCTACGGGCCTAGGAGTGTCTACTGACAGCACCCCCTGTTTTGTGCGACAATTGCTGCTTGCAGAACGACAAGCCAAAAGGGTAAGCACTACAGCCCGAGTCATTCACAACCCACCACCACACCCGAACCCACACAAACCCTAAAAGTATCTCAAGGATCTCGGGATCCCAATCTCTGAGCCTTAAGCCGTTCAAGCCCCCCATGCCTCCTAAACTGCCTCTAAGCCCTGCTAACCCACATGCTACCGCTTGCCTCGTATAGCACGCGGGGCTCCTCACGGCGGGCCGAGGCGCCACCGTTGGAGGCCTTCACTTGGTTGTGTTTGGTTTGGGAATGTTTGGGATCGTGGGATATTGATTACGGGCTTAGGTTTGGACCTTTTGACCTTACAGCCACTGCAGGGTGTGTGCCTGGAAGTAGTATTTGCTGTGGTGGGGCGCCGCGAAGGCTGAAGAGCTTTGCGGCAAGCATCGTGCAATGCCAGTGGCATCACGCGCCACTGGTAAAGCTAGCGCCCGAGGCTCGCTGCAGTTCCAAGGATTCGAACTTCCAGCCCGAAGACCTTGAAACACCCAAACCCTCTCAAACCCCTCTCCTCCCCGACGACGCCTTCATCTCTGGCTGCCCTTGGGCGCTGAAGAAAGCTCGAGCGTGGAAGCCCTCGGCAGGGGTCAGCGCTCAATACGATTAGAGGATGCCCTCTTGCTACAAGCTGGGTCAAGTCTGGAGCAACTACTCAGCAACTACTCCATGCATCCTCAAGACTTTGCAAATTCTTGCTCTGGGTGCTGGGCAGGCGCTGGCACAGTGCCCTGGTCGTGGGCTGCGTTGAAGGGGTCAGAGTTGAGGCTTTAGAGGGTGCTTCAGAAGTTTTGGCTTCAAGCGTTTGCTGCATTTCGTTGAGCCAAATGGTCTGGATTCGGAAAGTTGAGGGCCGCATGGCGATTGCGAGTTGGATGGCCCTGAATCAACAGCTTGAACTAGCTTGAACTACTTCCCCTAAGCTACGTCTGCAAAATCTGGGGCCCCCCCCCCTCCCCCACAAAAAAAAAAAACAGAGGCGATGCTTGAACCCTCTTTTGGAACATCAGTGGCACCCAGTCAGGGAAGAGAGCGAAGGCCTTCCAAGCAGTCCCGGAGAGGTGCGCCACGCAGTTGTGCTTCAGCTGGTCGGAGCAGGCGGCCTTGGCCAGTTTCGGATACGTTTGCTCCAACGTCCAAGCCCCGTGGCCCGAGATTCTGGGAACTTTGGGGCTTTGTTGGTTGAGATCTCTCAAGGCACTCAGGGGGCACGGCCGGCGAAGCTGGGGCTACGGGCGTTCACACACCGCCGAGGTCCGCAGGCTTCGTCTTCCGTCCTTGCATAGGGGCGTTTTTGGGCGCGAGGCTCTGTGGTATCAGAAGCGATGGGTGTTGTCTCACGATTCGTGCTGGAGCACCTGGCTCCGTTGCCAAGCTGTAGATGCTTCTTGGGCGGCTCGGCCAAAAGACTCGGAAGCTGGTGGACACTCGGAACCAAGCCCCACATGACTTTCTTAAGCGGATGCTTGCCAGGCCGCCCGCGGGCAGCCCCTGGATTTGGAACTTTCATTGCGGCTTTACTGCAAAGGTCGTCAACCTGCCCCGACAGGAGCAAAGCCTTAAGAAAACTTGGTCGGGGACCACGCAAAGGCATTCTTAAGCTGGTGCGGCATCAGTGAGTTCTTAGAATGCCCCAAGCCCCAACGACAGCTCTTGAGCTGGTGCGGGTTGCCAGCCCGCACGCCCATCAGTGAGTTCTTAGACCGCCCCAAGCCCCAACGACAGCTCTTGAGCTGGTGCGGGTTGCCAGCCCGCACGCCCATCAGTGAGTTCTTAGACCGCCCCAAGCCCCAACGACAGCTCTTGAGCTGGTGCGGGTTGCCAGCCCGCACGCCCATCAGTGAGTTCTTAGACCGCCCCAAGCCCCAGCGACAGCTCTTGAGCTGGTGCAGGTTGCCAACCCGCACGCCCATCAGTGAGTTCTTAGACCGCCCCAAGCCCCAACGACAGCTCTTGAGCTGGTGCGGGTTGCCAGCCCGCACGCCCATCAGCGAGTTCTTAGACCCCCCCCAAACCCCAACGACAGCTCTTGAGCTGGTGCGGGTTGCCAGCCCGCACGCCCATCAGTGAGTTCTTAGACCGCCCCAAGCCCCAACGACAGCTCTGTGCTCTTGAGCTGGTGCGGGTTGCCAGCCCGCACGCCCATCAGTGAGTTCTTGGACCGCCCCAAGCCCCAACGACAGCTTTTGAGCTGGTGCGGTTGCCAGCCCGCACGCCCATCAGTGAGTTCTTAGACCGCCCCAAGCCCCAACGACAGCTCTTGAGCTGGTGCGGGTTGCCAGCCCGCACGCCCATCAGTGAGCTCTTAGACCGCCCCAAGCCCCAACGACAGCTCTTGAGCTGGTCCGGGTTGCAGCCCGCACGCCCATCAGTGAGTTCTTAGACCGCCCCAAGCCCCAACGACAGCTCTTGAGCTGGTGCGGGTTGCCAGCCCGCACGCCCATCAGTGAGTTCTTAGACCCCCCCAAGCCCCAACGAGCTCTTGAGCTGGTGCGGGTTGCCAGCCCGCACCCCCATCAGTGAGTTCTTAGACCGCCCCAAGCCCCAACGACAGCTCTTGAGCGTGGTGCGGGTTGCCAGCCCGCACGCCCATCAGTGAGTTCTTAGACCGCCCCAAGCCCCAACGACAGCTTTTGAGCTGGTGCGGGTTGCCAGCCCGCACGCCCATCAGCGAGTTCTTAGACCCCCCCCAAACCCCAACGACAGCTCTTGAGCTGGTGCGGGTTGCCAGCCCGCACGCCCATCTGTGAGTTCTTAGACCGCCCCAAGCCCCAGCGACAGCTCTTGAGCTGGTGCGGGTTGCCAGCCCGCACGCCCATCAGTGAGTCCTTAGACCACCCCAAACCCCCACAACAGCTGTTGAGCTGGTGCGGGTTGCCAGCCCGCACGCCCATCAGTGAGTTCTTCGACCCCCCCAAGCGCCAACGACAGCTCTTGAGCTGGTTTGCATCTGTGAGTTCTTAGACCGCCCCAAGCCCCAACGACAGCTCTTGAGCTGGTGCGGGTTGCCAGCCCGCACGCCCATCAGTGAGTCCTTAGCCCCCAAGCCCCCAAGCCCCGACGACAGCTTTTGAGCTGGTGCGGGTTGCCAGCCCGCACGCCCATCAGTGAGTTCTTAGACCCCTCCAAGCCCCAACGACAGCTCTTGAGCTGGTGCCTGGTGCGGGTTGCCAGCCCATCAGTGAGTTCTTAGACCCCCCCCAAGCCCCAACGACAGCTCTTCAGCTGGTGCGGGTTGCCAGCCCGCACGCCCATCAGTGAGTTCTTAGACCGCCGCAAGCCCCAACGACAGCTCTAGAGCTGGTGCGGGTTGCCAGCCCGCACGCCCATCAGTGAGTTCTTAGACCCCGCCAAGCCCCAACGACAGCTCCCCCAACGACAGCTCTGAAGCTGGTGCGGGCTGCCAGCCCGCACGCCAGTAACCGCACGCCCATCAAGCTTCCAGTGCTTTTTGGGGGGGATCACGTCCTGCAAGCCCCAACGAAGCTCCACCCAAGCCCCAATGAAAATTCTTAAGCCGTTGCAGGTTGCCAGTCAACACACCTACTCAGACCCTAGTGAAAGCAAAAAGGGGGGGCACGGGTTGGCAACATGCTCCAAGCCCCAATGAATGCTATTGAGCTGGTGCGGATTGCCAGCCCGCACGCCCATCCCCCTGTGCAAATCGGGGTGGGTTGGCAACACGCCCTCCAAAGCCGGAATGGAAACCCTTAAGCTAGCGCGGGCTGGCAACGCTCATGCTCAAGACTTCTCTATTTCGCCTGACACTTTGAGGCTTTCCATCGCCTGTGCATGATTTCCGAGGCTGAGTGGAGCAGCTTTGTAAACACAGCAAACGCTGTTGAGGGACAGCTTGACCAGCAGGAGACAGCGACCCGTCTCACAAAAACCGCAGTCCTCTCGCCGAGGCAAACGGCAAAGCACAGGCCTCGATTTGCAGAGGGAGTAGCTGGAGATGCTGCTGAAGGGTACTCTCAAGACTTCTGGCAAGATCCTAGGTGTCAGCTTCCTTTTCGAGAACTGCTTCGCTTCAAAATCTTGGCGACGTTTTTGGAGTCCCACGCGTTGCGGAAGTGTTTCCTCAGGCTTCTTCGAGCTCCTGGCCTTAAACCCCTCACTGTGACCTAGAGCAAGTTTTCAACCGCTGGCACATGGAAACATTCCTAATCCCAAGCAGGCCGACACACCTGCAAGGCCTGCCTAAACCCCAAAACTGCAAGCCCTGAAGCAGATAGGGTTTAGGGTTTGGGGTTTAGGGTTTAGGGTTTGGGGTTTAGGGTTTAGGGCTTAGGGTTTAGGGTTTGTTTAGGGTTTAGGGTTATAGGCCTGGAACCTCTTGGGCCACGGGCGTTCGCAGGCTTCCGCCAGGGCCCGGTGCGCCTCCTGGGTGGCCTGGCGAGATCTGAAGAAAATATTCGGGGCGCTGGCTCTTTCCCAGCCCAAGGGCGCACCCGGTTGCTCTCCAAGCGCAACCAAAGCGGGACGAACCGCTGAGTGGCGGCATTCCTGGCTAGCGGTCTGAAGGGAGTTTCGGGGTTTCAGGGTTCGCCCGGTCCAAGTCCCCGGGTTGTGGAGCTTTCAGAACCCCTGGTTTACGAACAGCATCTCCACAAGCGACGCAGCTTACGTACGAATTGGGCACATGCATAGTCCACCAAAGAACAAATAGAAACGGAATCATGGGAGCACCTTGGCGCACCCTTTCCCCAACCCCAACCCTTTTGCTCCAACCGTGCTCCAACCAATCTCGGGGGAAGGCTCCTTGGGTCTTTAAATCTTTATGGAGAGCAAAGCTCCCCTGGCCCCCGGCGAGGCCCATTCTCTGGGAAGGCCCTGTTGTAGACCCTTGCAGACCCTGGGTGGGGGGGGGGGGGGGGGGGGGGGGGGGGGGGGGGGGGGGGGGGGGGGGGGGGGGGGGGGGCAGCGCTTGCAGCTGCTCAGGGCTTGGACTCCGGGGTCGAAATCGGCTTGCTGTGGCACAGGCATGTCCTAGGCACGTCCTCCATGCTGAAATCAGCCCTTCAAGAATAGAATATTCATCAGCAAATCGGACTATCTCATACAAAACCATCAGTTCTATTCTATTGCATGGCTTTCTAATGATCTTCCTTCTAATAAAGCCTTGTTTGGAGATTTGTTTGCACCTATCTTTCCAGGGTCTCCAGAAGTGGTGCATCCTAGAGTCAATGCATTTTCTATCTTAGGTCTTCTATGTTCATACTAGTATTTTCCTGGTCCGTTTCTATACTCTCAGAATGTGGAGGTGGTACTTGATGAAAGTATATGAAAGTTGTCCGCCATTCTCCACTTCTTTTACGCTCACTCTTGGGCGATCCCCTCCCCCAAAGCCAGCCAGCCAGGCCACACCGGGTAGGCGGGGTGCAGAGCCAGGCTACCAAGCAGCCATATGACCCCCTGGTGTCCACAGAAGATCGCTGGGGGAACTCGGGGATGCTGACCCGCCCTGTTCAGGTTGAGGGACTTTGGCCAGAACCTTTCTGCCCTCTGCACTGCCAAAAGACTGCATACTGATTCAGAGAACACCCCCAGACCATTTTGCCATGAAAGACGGACACCAGAAATGCAAGCTGCGAACGCCCTCGATGCCCGGAAAGTTGTGGCCTAAGCCTGGGAACCCCCGAATGGTAACCCGAGGCTTCCGTAGCCTCCATCGAGAAACGATTCTTTGTGAGCAGCAGCTCCTGAACTGGGGCCTCCGATTCCAGAGCTGCGCTGCTCTCCACAATTGTGCATTGCACAAGTTCAAAGGTTTGCGCGGAGAGCTTACAGGAGGTTGGGCATAGAAGTTCAGGCCTCGGGAGGATACTTGCGGTAGATGCTTCTGGGTGGGGTTGTTGGTGGCGAGGCAACCGCTGCTCTGGTTAGCTGCTAAAGCGCTGCGCGAGCTCACAAGATCCTGGGCGAACTTCCCTAAACCTGAACACGTGGGGGCGGACTTGGCTCGACGAGGCCAGGTACTTCGCAATGCACCTCCGCATGATTCGGGGGTGGCATGGGGTTTGAGGCTCTGGGGCTCTGGATGTTGGGTGTTTGGGATGCGGGGCGTGGGATAAGCCATACCCATGAAAACTTTGCCGAAGCCTTACCTTCCACCCTTGAAGCCATGAAACTTCGAAATGCCCGTCGTGAAACCGAAGACCACGCGAATTCCTCAGAGCTTAAGGGCACCTGAGACCCTCGTTGCCGATTCGGTTCCCGCTGAGCCGGAGCACCTAGCCAGCGGTCTTTAGGGTTTTTAGGGTCTAGGGTTTACCGATCCAAAATTTCAGTTCTTGCAAAGAAAACTGTTCTTTGATGTCCGAGAACTAGAATTTCTGGTCTCGAGCGTTTTTCAAGATTCCTGCAGAGTGAGCTAGGAACTCACGCTTGGTGACGGCGTTTTTTGCCGAACGAAACGCGATTTTTCCCGGCCAAAACGCGTTTTTTGCAGACCACTGCTTGCCCAAACGCGGCGGGAACACTTGTTCATTGAAAACCTGCTTTCAGGAGCAGCAACCGAAATTTATGCTTTTCCAAACAACGACAACAATTTTGGTTCCTGGAGAGTTTAGGGTTTAGGGTTTAGGGTTTAGGGTTTAGGGTTTAGGGTTTAGGGTTTAGGGTGCAGGGTTTAGGGTTTTTACCCCCAAGATCCCACCAAATTCCACACACACCCGCAGATCCCCAGAGCCTCGCAGCGCACGCGGTGCTTCTCCAGCAGGCCACACAAGGCCTGTCCAAGCTCTACCCGTTTTCAGGGGGAAGGGTTTCGAGTGGCCTGTTTGGGTTGGGGCTCCTTTTGCGGCCTTACATCGCCACCTTGGGGCGTTCGGGCCTTGGGGCCTTGGGGTCCTGACGACAAAGGGGAGCCCACACAAGTCGAAAGGTCTAAAGGTCCCCGACAAGACAACGAAGCCTTGATCCCCTTTACGGAGAGCGTGTTCTCCGAGAAGTCGATGGTGGACGCCTGCCGAGGACCTACTAGCCAATATTAATTTATATAGCTTCTGCTGCACGAGGGGATCCAGGTTAATAAAGGCTGAAGGCCACAGATCCTGCCTAAGGGCTCATAACCTTGTGTTCTGCAATTCAGCCTACGGGGAGACCACGACTACCTTGAGTACTCTCTAACCCAAAAAGTTCAACTACCCTGAAGCCTGAACCTACAATACGAACCACAGTTACCAGAATGCGGAATTTCAGCGACCGCAAGCCCGAAGGTTTCACAATGCCCGCGCACGCTTGCAGCAGCGCGCCCCATCAAAATATTAGGGCCACACAGCCTGAAGCTTATGTAACTGTGTAGTGTGGAGGATTTGGGATGGGCTTGCCTTGAAAAGGCTGCGACCCGCAAAGCCCGGCCGTTCGGTGGTCAAGCGCCTGCGGAGAGGCGGAGAGGGGAGGGGGGGTAGGGGCACGGGGCTGATGGCTGCTCGGGGGGCCTTTGAAGGACTGTGGAATTTTGTGGTTTGGGCCTTTTGAGGGGGGAGTTCAGGGTACAGGATACAGGGCTCGCAAGCAAGGGTCGAGGGCTAAGGCAGCCCACGTTAGCGCTAGTGTACCAGTCACGGCTCATCGCGTTGCGTTTTCATGCTCCGTGCCAGCACGGCTTACAGGTTAAAGGAAATTGGGCCCGGGCTCGTGATGAACTTATCAAAAGTTGCCAATGCATCATAGTCCTCTAGTATAGGCGAGGCACCGATCCATCCAGCTGCACCATCGCAACAGCTGAATATCATCCAGGCCCACCTGTCGAGCAAGCTGGCGATAGTGCTCACACAAGTCTTGCTAAGGAATACGTCACATGACAAAAGGTAACAAATTTCGGTACCCAATGCACATAAGAACCCGTGATACAGAGCAGGACCACGATACGGAGCAGAACCACGACAAAAACAGCACAATGTTGTCGCGCGATTTTTGTCATCAGACACCACACAGGCTGCTGTGGGTTGATTTTGGCAGTAGGGTTTAGGCTCTCGGGTTTTCAGGGGCTTTAAGGTTAAGAAGCTGGATTCAGTTTAGGGCTTCGGCATATTACAGCCCACTGTCTGTGTCTCGGCTTGAACGCTAGCCAAAACACACTGTGCACCTCAGCCATGAAGATCGTCAATGCACAGGGCTCGCCCGGCCTGTCCGCCGCCGATTTTCGGCCGAAACAGATGACAACAGAGCAGAGTACTGAAACCCCAACTCTTTCCGAGTCTTGAAGGAGGGCTTCGACACGCGCATGGCCCCCTGAACGCTGTGGCTCCACATGCGCCTGCCCTCCCAAACCCAAACCCGAGCCGTGCCTGAATCTGACCCTCGAAAACCACTCAAAAACTCCTCCATGAACCCGAATATCTCGGATCGGGCTCCAGACTTGGGGCAAGGCAAGTTCGCACGTCCGCCGACGGGGCCGAAGGTAGGGGGTACCAAGTAGCTTTTCCATCTGTGGAATCCGCAACGTGTGGGTGTCTGCACAAAGGGTTGCGGAATTAGGGACCTCTTGGGCACCCCTTGGGTGTCCCCACCAACATCCTTCTTCATGGAACGCAACAGGATAAGGATGGCCTGAGCTGGAGGCTCCAAAAATTTAGGTCTTGAGGATTCAATCCTGCCTTGCCGGCTCCACGGTGCAGCGCTGCGCCCATTCCTGCACGCACAACTCTCCCGCCTTAGGAATGGGGCTAGGCGGCCATTCCACAATGGCCACACTATCCAGCACCAAAGAAAAAGGCCTTTGGGGGTTCGGATCACTCCGTCGCAGCTTCGGAAGGGCAACGGGGGCATTCGAAGAATCCCGAAACCCTGAACACCCCAAAGGCCGGCACCCTGCCATCCCTAAGCCCAAACTGCCAACAAGTGTTCGACCCCCATGGGCCCGGCCGGGTGCTCGCCGGCGATCTTTGTCGCCGAGGGACTGCAAGGAGTTCGGAGGCCGAGATTTTAGGCTCCAGGTTTCAGGGGTTCGGGGCTTTTGGGGGGGGTTTATGACATCCCCTTGTGGCCTGGGGCTCCCGGAGAGAGACTTTAGGGCAGTGGGATTTCCGAACAGACCCCTTTTCAGCTTCCAAGGTCCCCCCCCGAATACGTCACCTCACAAGCCCTTCAAATCTTATCGTCCCGCAGAAGCCCGCTTCAACCCTCCGAAGCCTCAGAAGCCTCAGAGCTGGCCTGGGGACTGGCGCCGGCGCGCGCACGGTCCTGGCGAGATGCCCCAAGCAACTCTGGGGCTTTTCAGGCCTGCCCCCTAAACAGCCCATCATCGGGCATCGAAGATTTGTGGGGGTGAGCTTGGGACTGTGAGGCGTGGGGGATAAGGGGGGGGGGGGGGGGGGAACATGATGGCATCTGGCTCTGGCTCTGTCCTCCGCAATGACAGATCTTTGTCTGTCGTCGCCCTGGCCCTGTTCGCAGGGCGATCGGCATCTCTCAACGCTTCAACGCTTTGGGAGTCTCACCACCGAGTTGGGCAGTTTCACTGCTCGGGCATCTCACCGCCTTTTCAAGGGGGTAGAGATTTTTTTGGGTCTTTTTTTTTGGGGGGGGGGCCTTTTTTTTTTTTTGGTCGAATTTTTGGTTTTCTCTAGGAAAAACCCTACTTTCCTTACATTTTGGACGGATTTTCTGTCATTTCCCTTAGGTTTTCGTTGGTTTTTCATAGGGAAAAACCTATTTTTTACATTTTGGACGGATTTCCTGTAATTCCCTTAGGTTTTCCTTGGTTTTTCCTCGGGGGAAAACCCTATTTTCCTTACATTTTGGACAGATATCCTGTCATTTCCTTCGTTTCTTGGGCTTTGAAGCACGCTTGGTACGGCTTAAAAGAAGCTGGGGGGTTTGGAGGGGGGGCGCAGCCCCCCCACTTGCAAACACCTCTTGGGCTTTGAAGCACGCTCTGCACGGCTTCAAAAAAAAAGAGCGGGGGGGGGTTGGGGGGGGGCGCACCCCCCCCCCCATTTGCAAACACAATGCTCACACGATGCTTTTCAACTAGTTTCTTGGGCTTTGAAGCACGCTTGGTACGACTTAAAAGAAGCGGGGGGGGTTGGGGGAAAACACCTCTCCCCCCCCCCCATTTGCAAACACCCTGCTCACATGACGGGCGTCAACAAGTTTCTTGGGCTTTGAAGCACGCTCTGCACGGCTTGAAAAAAAAACGAGGTTTTCGTTGGTTTTTCCTAAGGAAACCCTCTTCTGATTACATTTTGGACGGATTTCGTCAAACGTCAAAGCGCACGTTGCTTTTCCTTAGTTTGTCCTAGGGAAAACCCTATTTGGTTCGTTTTCTTGGTTTCTATCATTCCCTCTATATTTTCATCGGATTCATACTTTTTTTCAACTAGTTTCTCGGGCTTTGAAGCACGCTTGGTACGGCTTAAAAGAAGCGGGGGGGGGTTAAAGGGGGCGGGCGCCCCCCCCCCATTTGCAAACACCCTGCTCACATGATGGGTGTCAACAAGTTTCTTGGGCTTTGAAGCACGCTCTGCACGGCTTTAAAAACCGGGGGGGTTGGGGGGGGGGCGCAGGCCCCCCCCCCATTTGCAAACACAACGCACACACGATATTTTTGAACTAGTTTCTTGGGCTTTGAAGCACGCTTGGTACAGCTTAAAAGAAGCGGGGGGGTTGGGGGGGCTGTGTCCCCCATTTGCAAACACCCTGCTCACATGATGGGTTTCAACTACTTTCTTGCGCTTTGGCTGAAAAAAAGCGGGGGGGTTGGGGGGGGCGCAGCCCCCCCCATTTGCAAACACAATGCTCACACGATGTTTTTCAACTAGTTTCTTGGGCTGCCCTTGGGCTTAGAAGCACGCTTGGTACGGCTTAAAAAAAGCGGGGGGGTTGGGGGGGGGGCGCAGCCCCCCCCCATTTGCAAACACCCTGCTCACATGACGGTGTCAACAAGTTTCTTGGGCTTTTGAGCGCGCTCTTGGAACGGCTTCTTTAAAAAAAAAACAAAGCGGTGGTTTTGAGGGGGAGAAGACCCCCCTATGGCTGCAAAACAACAACGCTCACACGGATGATTTTTTTTTTTTTTTCTCTTTGTTTTTTCTTCTTTTTCCTGTTGCCTTAGCCACCCTTAATTGTTTTGCTTTCTTTCATTTTTCCCCTGATGTTGTAAAAATAGTTTCTTGGGCTTCTGACGCACGCTTGTTACGGATTAAAAAAGAAGCGGGGGGGGGGGGGGGGGGGGGGGTTTGTGGGTGCGTAAATAGGGTATCCTACTCCTATTTTGGAAGTGGGACTCGGGTTTTCTTATAGCCATACACGTTTCCACGAGGGTACGCTGCTGTCACGTCAGTCGTACTATGGAGGCCTCAGGAACAAGAACCAGGTAGTTCCTCTTTTCTCTTCTCTTTTGCTCCTCAATCCTAAAGTCGAAGGCTCTCGTGAGGAGAAGAGAAGGGAGAGAAGGAGGGAAAGATAAGAGGAACACGATTTTCATGGGAAGAGCCAAGAAAAGAATAGAAGAGAGATAAAACAAGGCGCAAAGAAGATGGTACTCTTCTTTATCTATCCTCTCTCCCTTATCTCTCCGTTCCCTCTGTCTTTTCGAAATGAGAAAAACAAAAAGAAAGATGAAAAGAAGAATGGTTAGGAAAAGAGCCGAAGAGATAGGCCGAAAAGAGGGGTATGGTGAAGTACGGCAAAGGTCCACGCACAAGGAGTCACCTTCTGCTTACCCTTCCACTGCTTGATTTTACAAGCTCCTTTCTTGTGTTTTATCAGTTAGAATTAAAAGGAAACAGAAGGAGAGAAGGGAAAGGGAAGTGAGAGAGGAGAGACAACAAGGAGGCCATTTAATTTCCTGTGAGTTATCAAAAGGAATGCAATATTATGGGAAGAGCAATGGGAAAAAAGAGTGGAAGAGAAATTAAGACAGGAGAGGGAGGTGCAAAAATAAGGCAAAGAGAAGATGGTGCCGTTTTCATCTCACCTCTCGTTCTTATCTTCCTCTTCTCTGGTTCTTTTCCCTGTGAAATAAAAAAACAAAAGGAAGGACAATGAACATATAAAGGAACCCGTTTTCGTTTTCCGTTTGGGAACAAGGAAAAAAACAGAGGCGATAGGGCGAGAGGAGGGGTTTGCTGAAGCATGGGGAGGGTGTACGGGCAAGGGGCCAACTCCGCCCACTTCCCCCATCCATTGAAAGAGGAAAAGGAACAGGGCCTCCATTCCCCTCTTTTCTTCCTTTCTTGCGTTTTTGTCGTTTAGAAGGGAACAGGAGAAGAGGAGGGAGAGAGAAGGAGAGAGGAGACATAAAAAGGGTTGCATTTTTAATGGGAAGAGCAAAGAAAAGACCAGAAGAGAGATGATGGGAGAAGAGGGGGAGACAAAACAAGGCGCGCAGAAAATGGGCAGATAAGAAGAGAGGAAAGGGAATGACCAAGTACAATGAGGAGTTCTTCAATTTCCCTCCCTATCTCTTATGTTACTTTTCCTTCTTGTGGGGTGTCCCTTTTTCTCTTGAAGATGCAGAAAACGATTGAAAAGGACACCCGTTCCATCGCACATATGTAGGGAAAAAGAGAGAGAATCATGAGCATCAGCTGGGCTTGCTGCCAATCCAACATGGGCGTCCCTTTTAATCGCATTCTGTGTCCTTTTTTCTCGCTTGAAGATGCAGAAAACGATCCAAAAGCACATCTGTTGGAGGAAGAGAGAAGGAGAGAGGAGAGATACCAAGGATTGCATATTTAATGGGAAGAGCAAGGAAGAGAATAGAAGACAGATGAATAGAGAAGATGGCGCTCTTCTTTATCTCTTCTCTCTCCCTTGTTTCTCCCTTCCCTCTTTCTTTTCGAAATGAGAAAAACAAAAAGGAAGAACTATGAGAAGGAGAAGAGTAAGGAAAGGAACAGAAGAGATAGGCCGAGAGGCTGAATATGATGGAGTATTATGGAAAGGCTCACGCGCAAGGAGTCACCCTCTGCTTACCTTTTCACTGCTTTATCATATGAGTTCCTTTCTTGTGTTTTATCAGTTAAAAGGAAGCGGAAGAAGAGAAGGGAAAGGGAAGTGAGAGAGGAACGATAACAAGGATGCTATGTTTCCCGAAGCGTGCTGCAAGGAATAGAAGAGACAGGAAGCAAGGAGACGGAATCACAAAATAAGGCGCAAAGCTGTACATATCATCTCTCCCTTGTCTCTCCCTATTCCCTTTCGAACTAGAAAAAAACCATTCTTGCTTTTCACAGATAGGTTCCCTCTCTCCTCTTCAGGAAATCCCCTTTCCCTTATGTTGCTTTTTGAAGCGAATAAGAAAAATAGCAGATAAGAAGAGAGGAAAGGGTCAATTTCCCTCCCTATCTCTTATGTTGCTTTTCCTTCTTGTGGGGTGTCCCTGTTTCTCTTGAAGATGCAGAAAACGATTGGAAAGGACACCCGTTCCATCGCCCATGTGTAGGGAAAGAGAGAGAATCATGAGCATCAGCTGGGCTTGCTGCCACTCCAACATGGGCGTCCCTTTTAATCGCAGTCTGTGTCCTTTTTTCTCGCTTGAAGATGCAGAAAACGATCCAAAAGCACATCTGTTGGAGGAAGAGAGAAGGAGAGAGGAGAGATACCAGGGATTGCATATTTAATGGGAAGAGCAAGGAAGAGAATAGAAGACAGATGAATAGAGAAGAGGGAGAGACAAAACAAGGCGCAGAGAAGATGGCACTCTTCTTTATCTATTCTCTCTCCCTTGTCTCTCCCTTCCCTCTTTCTTTTCGAAATGAGAAAAACAAAAAGGAAGAACTATGAGAAGGAGAAGAGTAAGGAAAGGAACAGAAGAGATAGGCCGAGAGGATGAATATGATGGAGTATTATGGAAAGGCTCACGCGCAAGGAGTCACCCTCTGCTTACCTTTCCACTGCTTTATCATATGAGTTCCTTTCTTGTGTTTTATCAGCAGAAGAGAAGGGAAAAGC